TATATATATAATCCTTACACTAACCAAATGGGAATCAGAAATGGTAGAGGAAACCTCTAGAGAGACAGAAATGCTTCTGGAAATATTCTGAATAAATAATTTGCAAATACAAATTAAAGTAAGTCTATTTGTTTCCAGTTTAAAATCAGAAAACAACTCAAGCACATAGAGTATGTAGAAAAATCATTACAATAAATCCAGGCAATTCTGATCCTATTCCCACCTCCGCCACTAAATGTTCTGCCCTGAGTAAGTCTTTTCATTTTCTTTAACTTACAAAAAAGACTACACCAGATGTTCAATCTATTTTGAAAGGATCTTATAAAATATTTCATCTATAAATGATGCCAGCTTTATACAGTCTACCAAAAGTATAGAAAAAATTCTAACTAAAATTCTATTCAGTACCTGCCGTACTTCGAGTTGGATTTTCATTTACGTTTCTCTTCATTTCCTTTATTTTTATCAAGGGCTGGAATTTCTCTCTTCAGCACTCAAATTTACAACAGGAAGGTATCGGAACTGTCAACGAAAAAAACCTGGTAACTCATATTAAATGAACAATAATGGACTACAAACTTAAGAGGTTTACAAAGCCAGAAAGGAAACAGATGTGAATGAATCAGTCCTGAGACACTGGGCAGATGATCTGTTTGGGCCACGAGTTTGATTCCCCTGGATTGTATGAGCAGGCTTCAAAAAGTTCATGGAAAAATTCCATTCTTGTTCTATTCCATTTTTCCACAAAAATTTTGACACCCCCTCATCTAATATCCAAAGCCTAAGTAGATATCCAGAATTATCGTGACTAACAAGGTTCCCCTCAGTTTCTAGAATTTCAACATGTAAAACAAGTATTTTTGTGTTTCTTTCACAACAGAAAATTTGTTGTCTTCACCTCTGGATATATTAAAATCCCAGTTTAAGTCAACAAACATCTATTGTGTGAAAAGGCAAAATGCGAACGTTAATAAAGTCCTTACTGCTCCCAAGCTCACTCTCCAATGAAGCAGAGATGTGAACACAACCAATTACGTAAGTCAGACTGAGGTAAAAACTACTACTTCGAAACATCTAAATATCTTGTTCTTTATGCTGAATGTTGTTGGATCGAGTAGAAAATACTCATGCTTTAGAAAATATCCTTAGTGTCATTCCAGCGACCAAAACAGAGACTAATACTAACTTTTTCTCTAAATAGTGACACCAACGTCTTTCACCTCTGAAGGGGCGGATGGGGAAGGGAGTGTGTTACAAGGGCTATTACGTTTCAAAGATTAATACAAACAAAACAAAGTACAATTTCCTTCCCCTGGGGACATGGACCCTGAGTGCCCCTCTATACCCCCCTGAGCTCCCAAATAGACCCAAATTTCTGACTGGCGGCTTCAATGCACAAAATTAGCTCCGTTTGTAAATACACAGAAGAGAGCCGCTTAGTTGCTGGCTAAGTAGATGGAGACCAGAAGGACTTAATTTGGCCCCTCACGGAAAAAAAAAGTTTCGGAGGGATGGAGGGTCAGTCAGGGCTTTTGTTCTCGTTCAATGACCTCCTGGCCCAGGACTCGGGGAATTAAGGTCAAGGTGCCATTTTTCCTTAATCGGTGGCCCTCCCAACACAACACATAACATTACTTCAGGTTCCCTCACTTTACTACAGCCAACCGTCAACGGTCCGAAGAGCTAGTCAGCTGCCCCTAACTGCCGTGCCTTCCGAAAAGCGCGGGAAATCTGGCCTGCACAGGCGCACTTTGAACCTATACTGGCTCGCCTCAGCCGGAGCCTGCCCACCGCGCAGGCGCAAGGAGCATCCTCTTGTTGGCAAAGTGTGGGAGCGGGAGGGCGTCGTGACTTTAGCAGACTTACCCCAGTCTCCCTCAAGGGAAGTCGGACGTGAGAAAAAGACACTCTCATCCTTACTCAGAAACCATAACAGTAATGTTCCTCCCTTAGATTCTTACACCGTAATGTACACAGTGGATAACGACTCTACCAAAGAAGAAAAAGGGAAAGAAACGGTCCACCGTCGTCAGTGACTTGGTGGCCTATCTTCTGGCCAGCACAGCCTCTGACGTAAATTTGTTAGAAAATGATGCCCAAGTCTGTCTATACAAGACAGACTTACTCCCCTTACTCCCCAGGGTCATTTCTTGGGTTCTAGACACCAGTTTTTAAGGTGATGGTGCAACCCAAGTGCCCCCTGAATTACATCTGACATTGAATTGTCCACAAAGAGGGTCCAGAAGGCCTGTGGCAGAGTCGAGGCCCGAGTTAAGAGGGCAGCTGGACAAGGCAGAGTCGTCAGTGCGGGAAGCCTGAGCTGCCGGAGTTCAGACGACCGAGTGGCCCCCTGAGGAAACAAAATGGAGGTGAAACAAAATGGTGGTGACTGAGCGCTCTCAGCTCTGAGGTGGTCGGGAGGCCGACAGATTGCCCTGTCCTGACACTTACTAAACCTACATTTGTCTCCTCAGTAAAATGTTGATACGGTTAAATGCTGTGGAGTCAGTTCTAACTCTAGGGAACCTGTGTAGGGTTTCCGAGGAGCCGTTGCTGAGTTTGAAAAGCTAACTTTGCATTTCAAATGGACTCAGCACATTAACCCACAGCGCCACACCAGAACTCCCCAAGAATGGCAAATCTTAATTCCCATACAAACATGAGAAAGAAAATTGACACTTTGAGACACACAATAAATGCTCAACAAATACTGTTGTTAGGTGCCTTGACGTCGGTTTGTGGCTCATAGCAACCCTATATAGAGTTTCCGAGGCTTTAAATCGTATCAGGAGCAGAAAGCCTCATCTTTCTCCCTTGAAGCAGTTGGCAGGCTCTAACCGCTGGCCTTGTGGTTCACAGTCCAGGACTTATTGTATGGAAACATCGACATCATGCTTCCCAACAGATAGTGGGTTAGGTGTTAATGCGCAAACCACAAGGTCTACAGTTCAAATCCACCAGCCACTTCACGGGAGAAAGATAAGGCTTTCCAAGCCTGTAAAGATTTGCAGTCTCAGAAACCCTATACAGAGTCGCTATGAGTCAGAGTGGCAGCCACTATCATTTTATTTAAAAATAAAATAAAATAAAAAGTTGCGGTGGAGTCCATTTCAGCTCGCAGTGACCCTGTAGGATGTGGTAGAATTGCCCTATAGGACTTCCAAAGCTATAGGTCTTTACAGAAGCAGCCTGCCACATCTTTCTCCCCTGGTGGATTCAAACCAGCAACAACCAAATGCTTAACCACTGTGCCATCAAGACTCCTCCAATTAAAAATTGTTATTAAGTTCCATGGAGTTGGTTCCAACTAATAGTGACCTTGTATAGGGTTTCCGAGGTGTGGCTGGTGAGTTTGACCCTCCGACATGTCTGTTCAAACCGACCTTGCAGTTCAAACTGAATTGATCATCCAGTGCTTCTCCTACAGCACTACACCAGGAGACAAAATAATAGCTACTTACTGGATACTATGTATACTTCAATAGTAACTTCAACAGTACTGCAGTAGTAGCTACTAGAAGGAACTCTGGTAGCGTAGTGGTTACGAATTGAGCTGCAAACCTCAAGGTCAGCAGTTCGAAACTACCAGCTGTTCTGCGAGAGAAAGATGAGGCTTTCTGCTCCCGTAAAGATTTACAGCCTCAGAAACCCTGTACAGTATTGCTATGAGTCAGAACCGACTCCACAGCACACAACAACAACAGTAGCTGCTACTAATTGAATGCATACTATGGGTGGTGCAAACAGTTAAGAGCTCAACTATTACCCAGAAGGTCAGAGGTTTGACTCCACCCAGAGATGCCTCAGAAGAAATGCCTGAAAATCTGCTTCTGAAAAATTATCCATTGAAAACCCTATGGAGTGCCATTCTTTGCCATTAATTAGTGTGAATCAATTCCATGGCAACTGGTTTGGTTTTTGCTTTTGTGCCTTATGTTTTTTTTCTACTATGAGTCAGTTATAGTACTTCTAGCTCTGCTTGAGTTCAAAGACCATGTTTCATTACTAAATCTAGTGACCATTTTGAAGGCTGGGGTAGATGAAAGGAAGAGGGAGAGGGCCCAGAGGATGTTAGTAAAAGCCTAGGACTATGAAACTCTGACATATATTAGTAGTTTTTTGGAAATTAGGTAAAAAAAACAAAATGTTATTTGATAGGATTATAAGTAGGTTGAAACCAGGTAGAAGACCTTAAATGCCAGACTATGGAAAAATCTTTGGAAGAATAGGGTCTTCTTAGAAGACTCCAGACAATAAAATATGAAAAAGACAATAAAATATTCACAATAGCTCTAGAAAGAAAACATACCAAAAATGAGTAGAAGGAATAGGAAGCAGATTTTGACCTGAGATGAGATAGACCGATTAGATAGATAGATAGATAGATAGATAGATAGATAGATAGATAGATAGATAAAACTGATGCTCCACCCACACATGCACACACAAAAATTAACTGCTCTCTGTTGTTAGGTGCCATCCAGTCAGTTCCAACTCATAGCAACCTTGTTATATGCAGGTGACAACAATCTTGCTTGTTGTAAGTGACAAGGACTTGAGACACTTACATAAAGAAAATATGTACACTCAGTACAACAGAATGAGAAACAGTGCCCAGTCCTGTACCATCCTCACAATCATTGCTATATTTGAGCCCATTGTTACAGCTACTGTGCCAGTAGTCCATCTTGTTGGGGTCTTTCTCTTTTACACTTACCCTCTACTCTACCAGTCCTTCTCCTGATAACATGTCCAAAGCACACAAGACAAAGACTTGTCATCCTCACTTCTAAGAGATATTCTTTGCTGTACTTCTCCCAAATCCAATCTGTTTGATTTTCTGACAGTCCATGTTATAGTCAATTTTCTTCATTAACATTATGATTCAAATGCATCAATTCTTCTGCAGTTTTCTTCATTGTCCAGCTTTCACATTGTGTATGAGACTGATTGAAAAATACCATGGCTTACGTCAGACACACCTGCACACAGTCAGTCCTCAAAGTGACATCTTCACTTTTTAACACTTACAAGAGGTCTTTTGCAGCAGATTTGCTCAGTGCAGTACATCATTTGGTTTCTTGACTGCTGCTTCCATGGAGGTTGATTGTGGATACAAATAAAATGTAATCCTTGACAATGTCAGTACTTTTTTCCACTTATATTACTTATTGATCCAATTATGAGGATTTTTATTTTCTTTATATACGTGTCTCAAGTCTTTGTCACTTACAACAAGCAAGATTGTGTCACCTGCATATAACAAGTTGTTAATGAGTCTTCCTCCAACTCTGATGCCACACTTTTCTTCATATACCCTAGTTTCTCAGACTATTTGCTCAGCATACTGATTAAATAAATATGGTGAAAGGATACAACCCCGATGTATACCTTTCCTGATTTTAAACCACACAGTATTCCCTTGCTGTTCGAACTGCTGCCTCTAGGTCTATGCAGAGTTCTGGTATAGCATTGCAGGACAAGGTCGGTTTGAACAGGAAGGTCAGTGGTTCAAACTCACTGACCACTCCTTGGAAACTTTACACAGGGTCATTATGAGTTAGAACCAACTCAATGGCACGTAACAACAACAACAACAAGTCTATGTGTATAATTAAGTGTTCTGAAATTCCCATTCTTAACAATGTTATCCATAATTTGCTAGGCTCCACACAGTTGAATGTCATCCCATTGTCAATAAAATGCTGGTAGACCTCTTATTGGTATTCTGACTCCTCATTAAATAATAGCCAAAGAAAAGCAAACTAAAAAACCTAATGCTCACTATGAACAACATGCTATTTCAGGTTTATAATATGAAAATGTGGAACCTTTGTTAGCAATTCATAAATGTATACCATTCCTTTTTTTTGATTATCATTTATTTCTACCTAGAAAGTTGGTCAGAATGAGTCACAACAATGAAGTCCTAGGGGAAAGAGAAAGTACTATATGAGGGGGCTTCAAACGTTCATGGAAAAAATCCATTATTTTCCAATTCCATTTTTCTACACCCTTTCCTCATACTCATAGTAGTTTGATTACATGATTTCTGGGCAACCACACTATGCATGAGACACTGTAATTATTAATTTGAGAAAGAAGGGCCTCCTTATCCCCTCCCAAACACATTAATCTGCACCTTAATTGTGCCTCCTATAAAATTTCTAACATCAATCTATTGGAGAGTCATGACTATGAGAGAAAACAACTGCTCTCCTTTTGTTTCAAACCACATTATTAATATATAAAACTCTATCCCCACAAAATATTTGCACCGCTAGAAGTTACTTATTCTTTTAAGAACTTCATTCTTTTAAGAACTTCAAAACATTAATTCAACCTAATAACAAGATAGTGACAACCAGAAAAGTTTTCATTTTGCATGCTCTCAGTTCTCTTAAGTCTCAGAAAAAAAAGAAAAAAAAAACTAGACTGAAAAGCTGTACGTTTTGTAAGGCCTGAAAACGGAGTGTACTCTGGGTAAGAGGGAGTTAAAACCTTTCGGAAGTTAACTTGGTATAAGAGTATGAAAAGGCTCTGCTGCTCTACTTCTAAGGAAATGCTCTCCTTTTTTTCTAATAAAGCTTTCCGCAGAAGACAAACTGTACACAATAAACAAGGTACGTATAGGACCGAATTATTACAGTTCATTAACTCTCAAAAACATTATTTATTCTGACATGTAAAAGAAACTAACTTTATGATTGTTAAACATGCTTCAAAGTGCTGATCTGTTGAGATTCCATAAAACAAGCCTCAAAATGCAAGTCATCTGTTCCAGCTACCAGAGCTGAAGCAGCATTTCCAGAGAGACTAGGGCAAAGAGCACAACTCACTACAAATCCGCTGAAAAGAAACTAAATGTATTCTAGTGTGAATAATTTTACTCTTTCTAAAACCAAAGTAGGTAAACAATAAAACTATTATTTGTTTACATTCACAGCCAAAGGCTATAGGAGCTTTTTCTTAGATTAGAACATTGTTAATATGTATATTTAGATTTTGTTATTTTACTTTCTCTGTCTCTGTATTATAACCTCTGAAAGAAAGAATGTAAATTAGTTGGTTAAATATGATGAAGTGTTTATTTGCCTTTTATATTTCCAGCATATATTTTATTTGGGAGTTTGTTTATTTTTTTGAGCACACTGCAGTGATTATTTATAAAAATTCTGAAAGGGAAAAATTAGAACTTTGGAGAAAGTAAAAATGATAGGGAAATTTTCTATTGTCATGTGAAAATTTTTGGACTTCAGGCCAGAAAACCTGGGGCCCAAGTCTATTTCTGTTCCTAGGTAGCTGCAGAATCTTAAGTTATTTAACCTGTTTCCTTTACTGCTTTTTAGGGTTCTTATATGGTGGTTATGGCAATGGCTGTTTGGTTTCTTTTACTGATGCATTGGGAATGTCAGTACTTAACCCATCCTAGCTTACAAAATAGACGTATGCATAAACTAAGATAATATTTGCGGAAGAGCATTATAAAGTAAAGGACTCTGTCATTTTAATGATTTACTCTGGTTGTGCCCTATCAAACAACAAAGTAATTAGTGTTGTTGTTAAGTGCCATGGAGTCAGTTTCTGACTCATAGCGACCCCGTATAAATTTCCAAAGAGTGGCTGGTGAGTTTGAACTGCGGACCTTGTAGTTCAAACTGACCTTGAGGTTGAGTGTTTATCCTATGGTGCCACACCAGGAGTCTATAGTAATAGTACATAGTGTTTCCAGTACTTGGAAATATTTTACTTTGTGGATTCAGCATGAAATCAAATTAGATTTGGCTCTAAAGAGATGTAATCATTTTAGTATTCACAATACTTTCCCCTAACAAGACCCCCTGATGAATAGCACATTCCAGTGGAGAGTCTCACTACCAACAAGTTAGACCATCTCTAAACTTTTCAATATAAAATTCTGTGGTTAGCATATACAAAGCTAGAGGTTGGCACCAAAGAATGACCAGGGGATGCTCATATGAGGTTATAAAAAGCCATTGTGACCTATAGTACTTGTTTTATAGATCAGGAACAGGCAAGACAATGTGTGGCCTTTCTCTATGTGCATCAGTGATTGTTACATTCCTTTGAGGCTTGTAAAATCTCTTGAATCACAGAATCCCCTCTCCTAAGGATCCAGATGCAGAGGTGAGATGGTGAGAAAAGGGCCCAGAAATTAGAATCCAACCTAAGCCACTTATTAATTGAAATGTTTTAACAAAAGTCTTGAGGAATGTTGAGGTGTGTGCCCCTCCATCCTTGGGCAATTGTAAAGATATTCAGGACACACCCAAGGCCACCATTAAGCAACCACATCCTGGGATCTACCATAAAGGAAGACCACTCATAAAAATTCTGTATTTTTACTTCCTGGTGAGATATTTTACAGGTCAAACTGTTTTACTTAATGCCCTAGACATAACTTTAAGGGACAAACCTTCTACTGGGGCAAAGGAAACTGCTAGCCTCTGGGAGGAGTCTGAATTAGAGTCCTAAAGAATGGTGCATGCTTGTGATCCCAGAATAAGGACTGTCTGCTCCTACAAGAGGCCTTAGCTGTGTAATCCATCTTTAAGGATTGCTGCACACGAACTAAATTTGCAAGGCCATTTCCCAGAAATCCTGGCCTATCCCTATGAACAAACATGTCTTTTACCTACCCAAATGCTTTTAAACCCCTTAAAGCCTTTGTTAGGGGAGATGGGGGTTAAGCTTTGCATTAAGCCCTCTCATCTCCACTTGCAAACCTCGTATCTATCTATAATAAACTTTTGCTCCTCTGGAAACTCTGCCTCACCTGACTGTTCTTAATCAGTAGAAGGCAAGACCCTTCTCTTGAAAGGGCAGAGGTAAGGTTGGCGCTCCCTGAAAACATGCAACATGTACCAAGACTAGAAAATTACTAATAGTTGCTTTTCCTTTTGTATTTCGATAAAAAGTAAGTAGCAGACCTAAGAAAGTTGACACAGAATGATCAAAAACTTCATAATACAGACATTTTTAAATGTACAAGACCTTGTTGTTGTTAAGTGCCATTGATTTGGTTC